CCATTATCACTTACTGAAACTTCAAATCTTATCAATAGTTCCTCCTGATGTTGTCCAAGTTCTTTACATGTCGATCAACTCTTCACGAGATAATGCAAACTTAAATATCATCCTACCTTAACATCTCTTATTCGCTTAGCTATGACGACCAATACATTTTCTTTGACTGTTACTTTTTTTCAACAAAACGGTGCTGGAATTCCGCTGCAGAAAAAAAAAAAAAAAAACGAGTGAAAAAATGTACATCACTCTTATCCCTGACCCTACCACAACCAGCTCACTTCTTCCTCAAATTCTAAGATAATAGCAAGTACGAAAATGAGGAAAATAAATCTTAATCGTCACCAAACACTTTTAAATATCCTCTTTTGGCTTTTTCTGTCAAAATTTGATGGTTTTGCAAAAAATACATGCTTAAAACTAATTAGCACAACAGTTCTCCGACCATCGTTTATAAACACCAAAGTATTATGCAAAAAGATCTAATTTGAATGGTTTTTTATATAAAAACAAAATAAGTTTGTGGAAATTGGAAAATTTCTATAAAAATTTTACCATGCATATATAATTCTTTGAGTGCTTAATACACCCTCAACCACCGCCTCGGACAAGAAAAAAGACAATAACAACAAAAAAAAAATTTTTTTTTTTTTGAAATTAAGCAAACCCTAGGTATGCAGAAGCCCAATGCATCTTTTCTATTCGTTTTGGGCAGTTTTTGTCTTACACTTATCGAAAAAGCTTTTCAAAAAGCCTGGTGAATAAACACAAATAAATTAACATCAAATTTTCATGTTGTCAGAACCGATGAAACGCAACAACTGTAGACCTTTCAGAAAATCCAATTTTGCATCTGCATGCTGCTATTGAAAAAGTGAAAAAAATCACAAATCCTCGTACAAATGATTTTTGCAGCTCCAAATTAGCACTTTCATGACACCTTACGAGAAAAGTACCAAACACACGTAAATTCAAAAAAGCCACTACTCAGATTTAAGTAAGAAGACATGTAAAATGACATTAAAAAACAGAAATGTTAGAAGTAATTTTTTTTTTTTTGAAAAAAAAAAAACGTTGACTATTACCATCACTGTTGGTGCACCAGAATCTTTTCGGAATCATTGCTGTTCTGCAAATACTAGATGCTTTGAAAACTTGCATGGTACATAAAACTGTACCAGAAAAACAAGAAAAGATGTTGCAAAAGCTCCTTGTTACAACCCCTTGAAATCCTTTCAATTTCATAAATTTCGTTAAGGAAGGTCAACCAAACAACTATGATTTCTTCCCTATCTCCGTTATCACAATCACTTACTGACAAGAGTTTTGGTTGATATATTTGCAATTATAGACAAAAATACACAAGATCAAAAACCATATATTTTTGTTTAATACATTCAAAACAGTTAACGAATACGATTATGATACTTATAAAACAAACAACAATATATTATTTTTATTCTAAAAACACCAGACAAAAGAAAAAATAGAAAACTTTCAATCAGAAAAATAAGATTATTGTAAAATAAAACTTGCCTGCATTAATACAGATGCATATAAAAAAAATTCTTCCAAAAAATGCAACAATGGACACAGAACTGACGGTAGAAACCATCCTTTGCCGTATAGTATCACTGCTAAATCTGAGGAGCAAGCAATCAAATTGCCCAAGTCAGCAAATGCCAAATTTAGCAACAGTAAGTTAATAGAACCACTTAGTGCAGCTTTACGGTCTTTCAGCAATACATAGATGACAAATATGTTTCCAATACATCCAATAATGATGATTATAAAACAAAGGCCACCAAGTATATCTGACGTGACCAGCGTAGTCATCAGCAGTAGATACAGTAGAAAAAAAAGTGTAGAACAGAATAGCAATATTTTGTTTTTTCAACTCGGCAGGTTTAAGTTTCTTTGTTTGTTTTATTTTCCGGCTTTTCCAACTTCTTTTTTATTTCTTCTTTTTTGAATTCAAATACTTTTTAAATGTTTTTCTTTCTTTAATCAATCACTAACTTTTGTTATTCTTGTTTTTTACAAGATTTTAAAATAACAGCAACATCAGCAGCAACTATTGTCCATCATAAGATCCAGCAACACCGAGTAATTCAGCAACTACTGCTGCGTTTTACTCTTCATCCTCTTTTCATTGATGATTCTAACAGTAAAATAAACTTTAATTTGCAGTAAAATAACATTAAAAAAATTAGGTAGTAGAAAAAAAATGCACCACTTCCAAACTTACTTTGTAAAACAACTTGTCGTCTTCCTTTCCTTTAACAAAAATACCAATACCAGCAATAATAAAAATGACAATAATAATATTAATAATAACTTGAATACTAATAATGATAATAACAATGACAATAGTAATAATAATAATAATAGCAAAAACAGCAGCAACAAATAACAATAATACAGGTTTTTGCAACTTCAATGAGAAGTCACTTTAATTTGTTGTTGCTAAATACAAACATAAATTTTATAAAATATCAGCCATTTAGGCGAATAAAAAACTGCATATAGCAAATTGATGTTTTCCGTTTTATTACTGTTCCTTTTTGAAAATTAACCTTTCATTCCTTTAGTTGTGGTCCTTCTTTCAATTTTTTTTAATTTTTTTGTTTTGTTTTCTGCGTTTTCCGGTTATTGAAAAGATAGTATGCTAATCAGCGTGATGATGTCTACTTTAGAAATTTAAATACGAATAGAGTAAAGACAAAAAAGAAAAAAAAAGTTTGAAATCGAGAAACTTCTAGTGACTTCACGGTCACAGTGCTGCTCCTTTAAACCAAATTCAATAGTTTCCAATTAAGCAGAAAAAGTAATAAATGCGGAATTGCCGTTTCGCTTTCTTTTCCTTTTTTCTTCCTTATATTTGTTGTTGAAATTTCTTCTGATTTAATTTAAGGCTTTTTCTAAACTCTTTTCCCGATTACGCGTCAACTAATACTTTTGACATATAGGGACCATCAAGTTCGTAACCCAGTTTCCTGCAATGAAAAAGAATATTATTTCACTTTTTCTCCTTACAATCTTCATTCAATAGTGTAAAAAAATTTTTTTTTTTTTTAAGAGAAAAAAGTTACAGCCAATTAAACAGTCAACAGAAGTGTTAATATAACAAGCAAAAAAGTTTCGCAAATAAATGTGCATGAAGAAACAACGATAACTGTAAGAATAATAAAAAAAAAAATAGCAGAACCACTCTCTCCTCTCCCCCTTCTAAAAAAAAGAACTGGAAGATCAAAAAAAACCGACATCTGTAAACAAGCAATAGAATTTGAATAAACAGAATGCCACTAACTGCAGCAGCTATAAAGTAAAATGCATCATAATAACCAACAACCAAAACACAGGGGTCCCATCCATAGCTCCATTTCTTTCAAGAAACTCAGTTAAACAACGCAGACAAAGAAATCAAAACATGACAAATTTCCATCTCATCATTTCTTTTAACTGCTCAATCTCCCAAATGATATCGTCATCAATCGATCAACTAAAGCAAATGGGAAACAACATTAAGAATATTAAGTGCAACAACACATTAATCTTCTATTTTTTTTTTTTTTTTCTTAACAGAACAACAGTAATACTGTTAAGAAAAAATACCAACATGGTAATTTGAGCATGTCAAAAATGACTAGTAAACTTTAAAAATCTAATTCAAAAAAGTATTATATGCACTATCCTCACACTCTGAAGCCCATCGTCAGGTTTAATTTGTGACCCTTTTTTTTGGCTTTCAAAAAATTACGACCACCAAAATGTCGATAATATGCAACAGATCGGCAAAGCACTGAAACATTAAATGATGACGCTAAGAAACGTCAAGTAGCTGGCTAGAAAGCACGCTAAATAGTTTGCGCTTGGCTATCTGAGTATGCCTAGCACATGCTCCGTCTCTCCCCATATTTGTTTCACGTAGCCGTTCATTGGATACCCATCCAGGCCCATTGTAACAATAAAGAGTTGAAAAAAAAAGACAAAGACAAAGGATAAAAGAGAAGGTTGAATGAGAAACTTAAAGTTTAAGAAAAAAATCATACAAGCCAGTAATGTGTAGCTGCCCAAAACTAACCTCTTTAGCTCGAGTTTCACCACAACCTCTCAATAACACACTGCTTTCGCCTCACACTGTTATACATCATCGTCATTTTTTCTTTCACTACGCAGTCACACAAATTAAATAAAAAAAAACAGCCCCTAAGAAGTTATCGAATCTTATAAACAGTTTTCAGCGTAGGCCAACTCCTTAGACCCTTCCCCATATAACTCTCGCTAATTTGTTTTCTCTATTTATAATGCTCAACAAGCTATTTTGATACTTATTATCCAAGTCAAAATAACAATGGCAAAAAAATTTTATAATCAATTTATAGCCCTTATACAAATCCAAAATTTACTTAAAAATTAAGTGCAACCAATAAGGCGAGAAGACAAAAAAGAGGCAGAATAAGACGCAAGTGAAAATTTACAAAAATATTTTATTTTGCATTTGCAAACAATAAATAATCTTTTCAAAGCAATTGACTAAAAAATTTTCTGCTTAGATAAATGTTTCAGCAGCTAATGTTTTTCCTCTATCCACAAAAAGTGCTTTTTATTTCGCAACATTACTATTATTAATAAACAAAAAAATAATAATAAAAATTAATAGCTTAAAAGACTTTCAAAAACAATAAATATATGATTTTCATAACATTTGATTGCCTTAACCAAATACACTTAATTATTGACCGAAAACACCTTATTGATTAAACCTTCATATAAATTAGGCAGTTGACAGTTTTTTCGCATAAATTGAAAGAGAAACAGGTAGCGCAATTACTTAAAGAAAAAAATTCTTTTTTTTTTAAATACTCACATTTCTTATAATTGTCCATGATGAGTACAATAACTAATTAGAACAAACTTGCTTCTATTTTTCTAGTAAAACTTTTTTATTGTAGACAATAATTCATCGCTTAATTATTCCGTATATACCGTAATCAATGTCCACATCATCATCGTTATCGTTAAAACCTTTTCTCTTCATCATATCATCATATATTTAATAAGTAACTTAAATCGACTATTTCACAAATATAGGGAAGATAGAAAAAATCCTGAACATTATCATGCAGGTGATTTCAGAGAGCCATGAAAGAACAATATTACTGCACTCATCTATCAAATATTTCACTAACATCCGCTTCACAGCACTGGTCAGCAGCAAATGGTTTTTCAACTCCAAACGCTGTATAATTTTCCTTCCCCCTCTTGTCCTTCTTTGCAGATAAGCTGACTATTTCATAAATATCAGATAGCAGATAAAGAAAATCCATCATTACACCAAAACTTCAACCTTACTCCTTCATCCCTTTTTTCCCCTAGCAATAATGAAAAAAAAAAATAATTTAACTAACTTGGCATAAAAAACCACTCCATAAATTTTTGAGCCAATTAGTTTGAGATCTATAATAAAGTTTCCTTCCTAACCCCTTCACTCCTCTCCCCTATCCTTTTTCACTGTTTTAAGAATGTTATACTTCGTAAAGAAGAGAACGCAAAAAAAAGTTCGAAACAAGAAAATGAAGTAAGCGACTCCAAAATAATCCCAGCTTTTCCTCACAAAAACAGTGAATATCAACGTGTTCGACCAAAACAATTTTGTGCAATTCCTGCTAAATAAGTTAACAGCAAATTTAAAACTTGTGAATAACAAATATAGAAAATGTCACTTCAACGTCAGTAACTAAGTCATTATTAAAAAGAAAACTTATAGTTTGATAAAAATTAGTTATAAGTTTGTAGAAAAGGCAGTGTATCAGCCAGTCCCGTTCATCTCCCACTCTATCAATTATACACTCCAGATTTACACTCAGCCTCCTAAAAAATCAGTTTATAACAGCATCACTGAACAAAATTACTCTTAAAAAGCTAAAAAAAATTTAAAGAAGCATTAAAATTAAAGATCAACGAAAGCTATCCACCACCATATCATCAATTCGTAGAACTCAATATCGTTAAAAATAAATGAACATCCCGAAGGATTTATAAAACATCAAATAAAACCAGTACGGCGAGCTCTCAGGATCTGCTAGACTGCCAAAACGAATAATAGAGAAATAAAGGCTACGAAATGTTCGCTGCTTCTTGCAACACTTTTTTTTTGTAAACGTAAATTCATCGGAAGAACTTATAAATTTGACAGGTCAAAAACAAACTGCCAACTCATCTCACTCGGCTCAATAAAATCAGTGATCACTGTCTACTGTAACTAATGATTATACCCTTACTTCAGAAAGCAAAGTGATATTTTAGAAGCGGTTTTTTTTATAGTAATTAACTTGACTTTTAAAACATCTTCTTTATAAAAAAAGTGAAAAAAAGAGCAGTACTTTTCATTTATTCAAAGTGTTTACCATTTTTCCATAAAGTTACGTTTTATTGAAGTAGAAACACAATACTTTGGAGCAACACAACGTAAACATTATTTTTCTCTTTTTAAAAATAAAACCTGGTGTGAATTTGTACTCTGTATGCAAAATCTATTCATAAGTTTATTTATTTGTTGCTAAAACAAAATTAAAACTATTTATACCTTTTATCTGCTACTAATCTAAACCAACACCTATATACCCCGTTTCAAAAAAACAATAAGTTCTCTCTGTTCTTGTCTTCTTCTTCTCCCTTTTTCTTCCACATTCAAAACCAGTATAATATTTGGTTCCAGTAAAAACTTGAAAATAACATAAATAATTATGTCACTCTAGACAAAAATAAAAAAAACCATAATTATTTTTAATTGCACAATTCCTTTCTCATGAAAGTTTGTCCCTTTCAAAAATGTCTTGAGAAATCATCACTACACTGACTTTCCCAACAATAAATCTAATGTTGATCAGAACTTCAGCTTTTGAAAACATTTATATTCAGCAAGATTTACTTTGATCTATTCAATTTGTCTTCTATCACAGACTTCTAAATTAGCCTTCAATTAGAATTCTAGAAAGCCATTCAATATCCTATACAAAATTTTCTAGACTAATTTTTATTACAAATTTCGTCAATGCAGACTCAGTTATTTTTGGCTTTTGAAATGGAGTGTACTTTCTGCAAATAACTGATTAAGTATGGAGGTCAAACTGTTTTTTGTGATTCTCCTTCCATGTAGTCGCTTTTGACATTAAAATCACCATAAGACTAACGCAGAAAACAGTGCAGATTTTCACAAAATGACCGTCAGTTTTCCCAGTTAAACCTCATAGCGTCCTTTTCTGAAGAAAAATTCACCAACAAATAAAATAATAAGAAGTAGACCGACGAATGTAAAACGTTATCTTCAACCAAGTTAGTTTCAACTTTTCAATAACAGAGAAAAACTAAAATCTTCAATCTACTCCAAGATTTAAAAAATACGAGATAAAAAAAAAAAATGTAAAATGAAAAGCCTGGTTATCTAATGTAATGCCAGTGTAAGTTTAGCAGAAGAAAAAAAAATCAAAAGAATTTGACGGACAATTCTATAAAACCTCTCATAACTTGCATGACAAAAGTCTGAATGTTTAAGATCAATACTGGCTATATATAGGCAGTAAGTGTCTCGAACCTTAAAGTCTACTAACAATTTATTTTTCATACATTTTACGAGGCCTAATTATCACTGTCAAACCCAATGTGCACTAAACTTTAGTGAAAAGATAATGACTAAAAAAGAATTTTTCCGACGTCCACTTTTATTAAAAAAAAAAAAAAAAAAAAAAAAACTAGTGAATTTCGCACAAACTGAAACAGCAATTAAAGACAGAGAAAATAAAAGAAGACTGAAAACATGGTTAACAAAACGGTAGCAAAAAAAATATTTGATGAAAATTGTAATTGTACTCTTGATACATCTGACAACAGTACGTAAAAAGTCACTGAGAAAATGTTCAAACTGGAAAAATAACTTCAGAGTTTTATGGTATATATCACGCAGTAAAATAAATCAATTGAGGAATGAATAAATGTTTTGCGTGCCAACTTTCATGATGAGAAATAAAACAGACTTTTCTACACCACAAGCTATCTGGCTTCTGACAGTAAATTTTCTGTTATAAAAAAATTTGAGATAAAATTAAAATTCTACCCCAAATTAGTCTTTGGTATCTGGTATTTGCCCTGTTCTTCCACCAAAGAGAAATAATAGAAAGTTTTTGTTTGGACTTTAAATTTAATTTAACTGATTAATTAACTTAAAGTTGACCTACTAATTAAATTATTTCTTAATGCATTACCAAAGAAGTGTCATTTGTGACTTATCCAAAATACACATATTCGAACACAAAGCCTATTGACTTTCCCGTTTAATAAAAAAAAATTGCCCGTAGTTAATAATACAAATAGCTAACCAATGTTGCAGTTCTGTAAAAAGTCCAGAATAATAAAATCAAGGTCTGGTTAAAAAAAAATTAATTTATTGTCAATTTGAAAGAAAAACTAGCCGGTAATAATTCCTTGTCCCAACACCAGATATTACTGCAATTTTCTTTGAGCAGTGTTCAAATTTAGCAATTCTTTCTGCTTCTTCCATCAGCAGCAGTCCAAAGCCTTGATGTTGGAACTTGTTTGGATTCCTAGTCGATACAGGTACAACTGAACCATAGACATGAAGTTCGCGAACTATTGACACACCACCCTAAATCGACACAAATAAAATTCCGCACGATTATTGTATTGATCAAAAAATAATACTAAAAAAAACTTTATAAACAAATAAATTGAAAATGAAACTTCCTCCTCAATCTATTTAAGCATTTAAAAAACAAAATGTATTTGCTTCTGACAAATAAAACAAAAAAAAACTTAATGGCTAAGTTGACTCAGATAATCGATCACGCAAAAGTGCTAATTTAATTTTTCTACTTGAAATCAAGATCAATTTTTCAGTCTATTACTGTGCTTTAATTCGGCACTTTAATTTGAAACTTAACCGTATATGTGTCCTTGTCTTGTATCTTTTAAAATGTAGAAAAAGAATAATAATAATAATAAACTTTTTCAAATGTATCTTTTGAAACCTTTTTATGACTTGAAAATGATCAATTGTATCTAAATTCGACTGCACTATAAGTCAGGTCAATTTTGTTTAATTTTTTAGTCCCCTATATCATAACAGCCAGTCGTTTTCACATTATTAGCAGCCAGAGTTTCAGATAATTGAGAGGAAAAAA